GAGCCATGAGGGCACCCCCTGTTGATAGGCATGTGGTAAATCTTTTAGCTATTATGAATAACCATGGCAGTTCTGTTAGAGAGGTAACTTAACAAAAGTCTATATAAGTTGCCAGGGCATTGGTAGGAGTTTAAGTTATACATGATTGCAGGCCACCAGGCATGATCAAATGTCCCCTTAAAGTCGATAGAGACCATCATGGTGTGTTGGTTGTTCTCCTTAGAGTTGTTAATATACTGATAATGTTAAGGAGGGCATCCGTAGTTCCTTTCTTCTTTCAGAAGCCAAACTGAAGGTGGCTGAGATGATTCTGCTGCTCCAGGTAGTGTTCAATCCTCTTTGCCATTAGGGCATCTAGAATTTTGCTGAGGATGGATAAGAGGGAAATGGGCCTGAAATCATTAGGGGAAGATGGGAATGAGTTGGGAAACTTTCCGATCAGTTTGATGGAAACCACCTTCCACATTGTCAGGAAATGCCCAAGGTCCAGGCATATAATGAACAGGACCCAGAACGTGGTAGGAATGGCCCTGAAGTGAAGGCATGTAAAGCCATGAGGCCAGAGATTTGGTCAGGGCCAGGAGCTTTCCTTTTATTAATGTTTTTAAACTCGTTGTCTACCTACCTCATCAAGAATGGAGTATCTTTCTTGGTGTTAAGGGTACGAGCAAATGGACTGAAGAGATGGACTGAAGCTGAACACTATTTTTCCCTATCTGATATTTCTCAATGGTTTAATAACAATAAGGTCCAAATCTGTAACTGGACAGCATTTCAAAGCTGCTTTCATGATGCTTTTGGAGCCAGGCAAGAAAACATGTATATTGTGAACAGGGCTGTGGAGTCGGAGACATGGAGTTTTGATGTTTTAGCTGGAGTTGGAGTCGTCAAAAAATCCGCCGACTCCGACTCCTTTTTACTTCCCAACTTGTTATGTATTAAAATGGAAAAGTATTGGAATCGAGTCAAATTTGACTCTCCAACTTTTTATTTTATATATTTATTTTTGCAAATCTACATGTTTGGAGACCACCGAAACCTCTCAAAAAAGTCAATAAAAGGGGGAAAATTCATGCACATGTGTGTTGGTGTCTAATTTGTTTAATTTCTTTATTTTCTGTTCTGAGATATTAAACAATATCTCAGAATGGGTAAAGTTTAAGAAACGAAATGTGGCATGTAGCCTGCGTATAAAGGGGCATTAATACTATTAAATTTTGGTTCTTAATTAAAGATCGACAGGGTGAAGACATAAAAGTGGTCATGTGTCATATAGCTTAATGAATATTTTACTCATTATTAGTGTTCAAAATTAAAAAAAAAATAAAATAAAATTTGTCTCTACCCTCAAAGTAAGCTTTTTTGTCATTTTATAATATTACAGTAAAACCCATTAGGATGTTCTTGCCTAAGACGTTAGAACGTATAAGGGGACACGATTTAGTTCAACCACTTTGATGCTTAATAACTAACTCCTGTGTTAAACTATCTGACTCTGATCACTCTGACCACAGAAATTATTAGGCTTCAAACAGGGTGAACAAAATCATGCCCCCACATACAGTCTAACATCCACACATATAGAAAAAAACCTCAAATCTTTTGCATATCTCGAAATTTCAAGGTGTCTCGAGTCCGAAAATGTAAAAATTTGGAAGGGGTCATTTTTTGACCGAGCGCTACACTTTCCCTCTGTTATATATAACATCCGGATAAGTAAAAATTATTGAATACATATTTATATATTTCTCAGAGGAGTCTTTTAGCTTTGGAATAAAAAGTTTCTACGTTCTATCTTTATTAGAATTCTATTTATTGAATCTTTTATTCTGAGGTCACGTGATGACATCAGAATTTCCGGGTCTCTTTCGGTAATAAGTCGGCCCCTGATCAGAGTCGGAGTCGGATAGTAAGGAAAAGTCGGAGTTGGTAGATTTTTACGCAACTCCACAGCCCTGGTTGTGAAACAATGTTTAGAACAATTATCCCGAATGAGGATAATGAGTCCTAATATTCAGGACATGCCTGCCCTGTCTCCAAGCTGATCTGAACATGCCTGATAAACTTGAGCATTTGATAAAAGTAGTCGTAGAGGACTTATTTAATATTCGTATTGCCACTGATATTACCATGACAGCTGCTTTTTACTACTACTAATACTAATCATTGAATGGAGGCTAGCAGATACTGCAGGATTAAATTGACCATAAATATTTCAAAATCTCCCAAATGCAACAGTTTTGAATCTAGATGTGAAAAAATGACAAATGCAGTAACAGTAACACTTACACAAGAGACACAAGAGATAATTCAGGAAAAATTAACAGAAATAATGAACAGCGTGTATGGTCAACTGAGCCAATCACGGTAGTCATGGCAATGTTGAAAATGTCTTGTTGAATGGAAATAGACTTAGAGGAAGTGTCTGATAACTAAATCAACAATATTGGAATGAAATACACCAACATTTCAGATTGCATTCCAATCTATTTTCCAGATGGACAGGGTGGACATATTAGATGATATTGTTATAATCAGATGCAAACAAATCAGTCAAGAATGCATACCTCAGTATAGTGTCCAGCTCCTAAACATGTTTACAATTCTCTTAAATATCAACAGACACTGGAGTCAGGGCAATCAGCAACACTTAAAAATAGTGAGTCACTCAATGGAGATCACATTGTCCTAGTGTGCTAATCTCCGACATGTCATCAACCACAATCAAATTTGCTTTCTATTAAATTGTGATCAATGACCTTTGCCCAGTTGCCAGCTGACATAAAACTGAAAGAAGCATCCTTAAGAGGGCTACTTCATCTTGTCAAAATCCTTTACTTCCACCATCATACCTTAGCACTGGGGACATATTTCCATAATGATCGACGCAAATAACAAAACTCTCATGGATATGGGACAATACTTGGAGCATCCAACATCACTTCAGTAATGTTTATATAACTTAGTACAAAGAGTATCAAAGTATCAACTACAACTTGGCCAGTTGTTACAAATGCAAGTAGAATGATGCTATAAGTTCTTCAATAGCTCTACAAGAATCACCAGGATACAAGTTAAATCCCTAACAATCCTTATGGAGCTTTTAGTCTTGAAGCATAGTTGAAATTCTTTAAAAAGAACTATCCACACTTATTATCAAGATTAACTTCTTTAGTTGGAGGGTGAGAAATCACAGTTGCTATTGCAACCCTGCTGTACGAAGCAGAGAGTTGGACAATGAATGCAAATAACAAAAAGAAATTAAAGGCATTTGAAATGTGGATGATTCGAAGAATGCTTAGAGTTCCTTAGAGGGCAAGAACAAATGAAGATATCCTGGCAACCGCAAATCAGAGAAGAACCTTACTAGAGGTAGTAAGGAAAAGAAAAGTGAGTTATCTGGAATATGTACTGTGACACCAAAGCCTACAAAAACTATTTCTGGAGGGAATAATTAAAGGGCAAAGAGGCAGGGGTAGGCCAAGAATGAACTGGTTCAACATCATCAGGAATTGGACATACTTAATGTACAAAGAGTACTCAAGAGAAGCATAAGATAGATATGGTAGCGTAAAATGGTCAACAACGTCCTGACAGGAGAAGACACCTAAAGAAGATTGTGGATTTGTCAGTAATTAATCACAAGATACTTGTCATTTTTGCATACCTGTTTTAATTACTTCATAAGATTATAATATGTGAAAAAGCAAAATCCACCATCAATAAAACCCTCACCAATAGAAACATCAAAGCTGAAAAAAATTTTCCACAAGTTTTTACATTGTGCAATAAATTTTAATATATTTACTTAAAAGTTTTACTTATCTATAGTTAAAATAATAAATACTTTATTAAATTACTTCTTCCTTCAATTTGATTCTATTTATAAAATATATTTACAGAACACTAATTTTATAGAAGTCAAATTATTAATCTAAAACAAATTGTTTCTGCCTATCTAATAGAAATTTGAACATTTGTCCAATAACAGTTTTAATTTGGTTGTTTTTAACCAAGTTTTTTTTATAAAATAAAATTCTAATTCAAGAAAATATTAGAATGATTTTTCAAAGTTGAACATTTGTTTCAAACAAAACAATTCACTTAAAAATGTTTTGCATAAAGCAAATAAATATTTATAAATACAACAACAATCTATTTTTAATAGGACAATCATTGTGACAGTTACAATTTTAGCAATTCTTCTGAATATTCATAATTTTGTAATTATTATCATCTATTATAAATGTCATATCCTCAAAATACTTTATTAAATAATAAGTCATGCAGAAAAATTGACTCATTATTTTACTACACACGAAATTTTAATTTTTTGCTGAATACGATAATAAAATATATCTGAAAATCATTTGAAATATCCGAATTGCATAATCGTCTTTCACAAATTTAATTTCATATAAAAAATTCATTTACATACAATTTTACATCTGCCAATAAATCTATATATTTTTTTAAAATAAAAAGTTTGCTTTATGTAAAAAAATTTAAGTTCTTTTATAAGTTTTTCCATCAGAAAAAAGTAATTATTTTTTAAAACTGTGAAACATTTCACTAATGCTTTTTCTACAGTATTACAATACTTTAAAAAATAGTGAAATAAATAAATGGAAATATGTTTAAAAATTTACTGTTTATTTGAATTTCTTTCTAAGTTAAATCAATTAGGCACTAAAAGAGTTCTACAAGAACTCGAATAGGTTAAAAATTTACTACTCAATTACAAACTTAGTCACGTGACTAACAAATCTGTAATTGCATATTTAATAAGTTACAACAGACTCAAAGCGCGATTACAGAAAAGTATATTAATTAGATCTATCTCTAAATATACTTTACTGAATTAAGAACAGAAATTATTCATAAATTATATAATGGCAAAATCGTAAACAAACAGTCTTCGTATTTTCTGTAGTCTTAGATTAAATTTCGCGTAAAACATTAAACAAAATTTTCGACAATTTTATGCAAATTACATTTACCTTACTGTTTTCCTTTAATTTGTAGGGATATTTGGAGAAATATGTCAATAATCCTCTGACGTCGTCGACAGACACTAATTCCATCCTATTGTCATTTCAATATCCCGCCTTCCGCTACTTAAACTCGATGTAAAACTTTCAATTAGGAGCATCCAGCACACTAATATCCGATTTTTCCATGATTTGCACTGCAAAACCGCCATCGAAATGTGTCACGTGTGGAGCTAAAACGTCCTCTGGTGTTTAAAAATGGCGTTTGAATAATTTTACCGTTCTTAATTAATTTGGATCGACCTCTCCATGTTCGATTGAATTTATTTCTTATGTTAAATAAAATTAATATTTTAACAAAATTATGTAAAAATATATAATTACGTGTTATGGTTTTTCTTGTATCGGCTAGTTGGGCATGAGCTTCTAGGCCAGGCATGGCCAACATACGGCCCGCGGGCTGGATCCGGCCTGTCTAATGAATTTATGTGGCCCGCGATCAATCTTTCAATATTAGGTAGTGCAGTCCGAACAGTTCGATGAAAAATTCTTACGCCTAATGAAAAAATTAAAAAAAAAAATCAACAACTCATTGTGTGTTTAGAGTTAACCCTCCATTACAAATCTCCTAAGTACAGCGTAGAGTGTTGATAAAGCATGATAATGTGAAAATGTATCTGTAATCTTTATCTACAATTCAGTCTCTACGGGGTGACACCACAATGAGATCTCGCACCACCTCAAAATCTTCCTAGGGCAGCTCCCCGTGGAAAAAGTTTTCTTCCCAATCCGGCCCGGGAGCAAAAACTGTTGGCCACCCTTGTTTTAAGCTATATCGCATCCCCCCTTGGTAAAGTGTGACGTAATTGTCATATAATAGTTTGTTGAATGCGTTTATGATGGTCGTTACGCGGTGAATAATGCTTTCCGGGAAGTTTTTTAAGGATAACTGACCCTTATTCGGGCGTTACAGACGTGGAGAAAACTTGGAAAACTCCACGTAGCCAGGACGGACCACCAGTGGCCGAGCGGTCTTCGTTCCCTGAACACTGGGAGTTCTGGTCGTGGGCTCGCGCCTCCCTCGAACGGGCTGGGCACGTGGAGTTTTCCGGGTTTTCTCCACGTCTTTAAGTTCCTTCCAATGCACAGCTGAGCTGGAGATGGTAACGAGTTCCTAGGAATGTTTCTCCAGTTTTGCAAAGCCAAATACTGATCTTGACCTGCTTCTGTTGTCTTTTTAATTAAGTATGTTTTTTATTGTTTGCACATGCCGTTCTATCTGACCATTACTTCAGAAATAGCTACACATTTATGGGATCTGATCCCTCACCATCTCTTTAATATATATAATAATTGTCTCTTTCATGGTATTTTTCCGGCGCCTCGGAAAGTAGCTAAAATAATACCTATTCCTAAACCTGGATCTCCTGGAGATACCCGACCGATCTCACTTTTACCTGTACTTGGGGAAATTCTCGAATAGCTCGTTAATAAAAGGCTTTTATGGTTTGTTGAACTACACAATTACATAAACAATGCTCAATATGGCTTCCGACCAATACAATCTGCAAAAGATGCTATAAATACAGCTATAACTTCTATAAACCAGTTATTAGATGAAAACAAGTATGTACTAGGAGTCAGCCTTGACATCTCCAAGACATTTGATAGTGCCTGGTGGGCCCTAGTTACATTCCAATTACGAAAATTTTTATGTCCAAGGGATATTTTATATCTGCTCTATGATTATCTAAATGAGAGATCGGGTGTGTTAGAATGCGGACAACTCCACGTCAGTAAATCTATAACCAGAAGATGCCCACAGGGGTCTGTTTGTGAACCCCTGCTCTGGAATATAGCATTTAGTGCTTTCTTTGATAACAACTTTGGGCAGGATAAAACTATTGCATATGCAGATGATCTACTTCTCATCCTTCTAGGAAGCCGTTCAAGAGCGGATCTTGAGCTTAAAGGTAATAATTTGCTAAATGCCATTCATACTTGGGGCCTTAATCATAACTTATATTTTAATCCCCTGAAAACTAAAGGCATCGTTTTCAATAAACCTAGAAACCCCAATTTATATCTCAGGGTACCACATATTAAAATGTCCAATAGATCTATTAAAATTGAAAAAACAATTAAATATCTGGATGTCGTCATAGATTACGGCCTGAGTTAGGATCCTCATATTGCATATATCACTAGCCGTACTGGGGTCATTTTCTAGGGTTTCTCACAAGTGGCCAGAAATGTTTGTGGACTTTCCTCACATGCAATGTCTGTTGTGTATGACGCAATCTTTATCCCTATTATTTCATATGCGTATGGCACTTGGGGATGGACAATCAATAAAGTTCATACTAAACGTAAACTAATTTCTGCACAAAGGAAAGGTTTACTTAATATCACCAAAGCTTATCGCACCGCACCTACTGCTAGCATCCAAGTTCTCGCACAGAAACCCCCAATAGATCTTGTTATCTCACATACTCAGAAATTACATCTATTAAAATGGGGAGGAAACATTCAAACACGATGCCTGCTGATAGAAAACGATAATTACGAACGGCCTATCCCCTACTATCACACACAATATCCGATCTGTAGATCCAATTTAACTTTTACTAATGAACAAATAGTTGACATTGACATCTATACGGATGGATCTAAACTCCAACACAGGGTCGGTTGCAGCTTCGTTGCTTATTGTAACGGTAACGAAATATACCATCAGAAGTCTCGGCTTGGGAATCAATGTAGCATTTTTCATGCTGAGTTGATAACTATTAAGCTAGCTGTCACTTGGATTTGTAACAGATATACCTACTGCTCTGTTCATATACATACCGACTCTATGTCCGCGCACAATGTTATTAAAAACATCAATACACATTTTGTTGTGGTTGATATTAACAATCTTATTAGCTATTCAAATTGTCAATTCATTATTAACTGGATCCGTGCTCATCAAGGCGATCACGGAAATGAACGAGCAGATACCCTCGCTAAAATGGCTGCAGAGGATGACACAATCCCTATTACCTACAGCAAAATTAGCAAGAAAACCATCCGACAGGAACTTTGGAGAGACACCTTATATGAATGGCAAATCCAATGGAACAACATCAATAATAATCACATGGCAAAATTTATGTCTAATCTGATTCATCTCACTACTCTACACTGGTTCTCTCTAATTTCTACAGTTCACAGATACTTACCAATCATGGTAAGTTTGCGAGTTATCTTTGCAAATTCACCAATCGAGTTTCTCCTTTATGTCCTACGTGTCAAGTAGAAGACAATTCCTTTCATTACATTTACGAGTGCATCACTTTAGAAAACGAACAGTTGAATCTAATACTATTCCTACAAGAACTGGATATCGAGTGGCCATGTGCTTCATCTGACTTTTTCAAAAGTAAGAGTGTGTATCGTGTCTTCGAAAGACTGTGCAAAAAATTTCACCACTTTTCACTCACTGCCACACATAACTAAAGGACTGTGGTAGTTCAGTTGTTAGTTTAAGTTAATACATTAAGTTTTTAGTGTTAAGTGAGATTTATTTTGATGTTAAACACTTTTATTATCAATTCTCTGTTAATGTATAATGTTTTTCTGTCATATTACTTTAATACAAAATGTTACTTATAATTTAAATATTAATTAGGATAATTTTACACTCACTTTATATATTAGCTACGTTTGTTATTTTCTACGTTTAGCTACGTTTTATATATATATCTAGCGTTCTAATTATTCTGTATTAATTTTGTATAATTTTGTATAATTTTAAGACTCGATTCCTGTGCATTTGTCAAAGACAAAGTGAAATATGTTATATTATCTGTTATGTATACTATTGAGCTTATCATTCTTGTACATTATTGAATGATTATGTTAATTGTATTTCCATTGAGGTACTATATACTATAATACATGTGTTCCAATTTCTTCGAATGTATTACCTGTACATTCTACCTGTACATCTATTACCTGTATAAGTAGCTTTTGTTTGATCTGCTTTAACTTTGTACACTATTAAGATTTTCATTCTTACTTACAATCGAAAAGCAATTGAAAAGTAATGTAAAATATGTTATATCTTCTGTCATATGTACAGTACACTACTAAAATTATTATTCCTGTACATAACTTAGAATTAATGTGCAACCTGTTATATTATTGAAGTATTACATAGTCTGGTACTTTTGAATTATACAATGTATGAATTATTATAAGCTCTTGGTTATTCATCTAATTCAAAAAGTGTTACTTAGTTTTAAATTTTAAAATTTTATGTAAAATTTATGAAATTGAATTATGTAAAACTTGTATCTTTTAATTGTATTTGTAAACTTATAACCCTGGTAATGCAAAAGCGGGACCAGGACGTGCATGTTATTTTAATGTGCGAATAAATACTAAATGAAATGAAAAATGAATACTCTGGGGATATTCAGGACTAGATGTAGTACCATGCCTGATACTCCTTTTGTCACAGAAGAGATTAAAAGCTACTGACGAGAATAGGGACCATTATCCGTCATCAATATTTCTGGATTTCCAAATCGCGAAAAGGTTTCTTTGAACCTGGGAATAACTTTGGAAGCATCAGTCGACGGTATCTTATAAACTTCTGGATAGGCACTGTATCTATCCACAATTAGCAAATATGGACTGTTGGCCAAATAGAAAATATCCACTGTTGCTTCTTGCCATGGATATGCAGGAATTCTGTGGGGTATCAGAGGTTCTTTTGTCTGAGCTGGTCGAAACCTTTGACATTGTCTACAAGATTATACTAACTCTTCTATGTCACGGTTTATTCCTGGCCAGTATACCTTACTCCTCGCACTACTGAGTGAAGCGTTGGTTCCCAGATTCCCAGCTGTCAGTGGCGTAGCGTAGTGGGGCGACACTTTTTAGGGGGCGGCAAAATTTCACAATAAATAATAATAATATCTTGTAAAAATCTGAACCATTTTATTTCATACTTCGTCGCACCTACGATTCGGACCGATTAAAATGAGCACGGAATAGTGTTACCACCCAGACAGTCCGGGAATCGACTCAATGTCCGGGTGAACTGTTAATTTTTCCCGGCAATTTCGTGCGCGACCTGTCGACTTTTTTTTTTTTTTTTTTTTGCTTTTACGATTCGTATTCATACACATCTTCAGTATCCAATAAAGCTATGTCACCTAGGTTATCTAGGTTACTTACGTTACTCCTACCCAAGTCTCCCTAGTCCCTAACTGTACCTGATTTCGAACTGGCATGCTCTGCACATTATTCTTCGCATTGCAAAATGACATTACGCATGCGTCAGGAACTTCTGTTCGAACAAGCCTCACTCGCCGTCCGGGTCGGCGATTTTAAAAAGGTGACAATTCTAGCATGGAATTTTTCATTACTTATTCTGTGACGAAACTGAATTTTAGTCTTTTAAATTGAGATACCTAAATAAGGAGACGGCGAAATTTTCCTTTGCCCCTGCCGGCTGACACCCACTCTACGCTACTGCCAGATGTGCAGCATGAATTTGCTGTAGAACTCTGGTTCTTTGTTTCTCTGGAATTATTATGGCAGGTCCTTTATATATAATATCCTTCTATAGGTATGGGTCTTCTTTAAAATTGTAGTAGGGTTTGATGTTTGATGGGATAGACTTTTTATGTACCGGCCATCCTTCTGATATCTATTTCTTTAGAGTCTGTCGATTCTCGTTTGTATGATGATCATCTTTTGTGGCATGTTTATTCGACGATAATGACGGAATGAATCCAATCAGAAGATATCTGTCAGGCATATTCAACAGAGTCAAGACGATGATATATAATAGGATAGGACATTCTCACTCGACCTGAACAAAACACTCTAATGAAACTAGACGAAGTAATCGAAAACACAATTCAATAGATCTTCATCTATTTATTCACGCAATGATATGAAATCTTTGTTCCAGAAAGTCGTGAGATGATTTAGACAAAGACGAAATTAAACTACTCGAAAGGACTTTAACGGGCCGGAATTCATGCTGAATTGTATTGTTGATTGTGTATTCGTAGCATTTTAAGTAATAAAGTTAATGTTATTATTCATTTTTATGTTTATTTTATACAAAACTGGATATAAGTGAATTTAAATACGAAGCTAAAATTAGCAATTTTCGGACTCTTTGAAGAGTCCGAAATTGCGGTGTAGGCTCTGTTGCATATTGTATTTTTACTGAAGAGGAATCGGCGAGAATTCCGATCCGAAATGCATTTAAACAAAAAATCTGAGAATTAATAATTTTCTAAGTAATTCTTGAACTCGGGTGAGCGTCGGATTCGAAAGACATAACATTTCGGTTTATTCATTCAAAAAAACCTTTTAAGTGGTTATAAAATTGGCAAATTTAAATATTTACAAAATGTGTCGAATCTTCGATCACCCTTTAAAAAATATTTAAAAAGTTGAAAGATCAATTAATTGGTTATTTTCTCACATAGTTTTAAAGTTACGTAATCACTTAATGAAGTTTCTTACTAGTCAAAACAATAGATTTTAAATATTGATAAAACTATAATTAACATATCGATACGATATTACAATTTGCCTTTTCAAAATTTCTTTAAGGAAATTGTTTCTAATTTAATTTTAAAAATATTCCTTTACTGAAAAAAATATAGTAGGGCATTTAATATTTTTGTGATTATTTAATGATGTTTTATGCAAAGTTACGAGAATTAAAGTGTAATTTTTCATTCCTGTTCGATTATTATCATAAATAAATGTCTGCTCAGTTTGGTTAGTTGGTGTTTTTTTACCACAAGAATGTAGGCTATGCTGCACCGTGACATCTTCTTAAGAAGTTCGTTATAATGTCCAATAAGCTCATTTTTTCTGTGGTTAGTTGTTCTCTTTTTCTATAATATTGGCAAATATTATCCTTACACTGCCGGAAGATCGAGGCCGTAAAGGCCATCTCTCTATTACTCTAGGGAGATTCGAGATCCGATTTGGCTCAGAAATTTGGTCCGAATCGTATAAAAATAGCAGTTTTCCCTCACGTTTGGCTTTGTCTAACTCACGATAAACATGAAAAATATTCTGGTACCCAACATCATTGCATCAGCAACGACGTATTTTGAAGGAATTTTTCGGGAATTGGTCCATCCGCATATGTCGGGATATGTCCCTCATCACCAGAACGCCTCATTGTGGGTCTGGCCTAACCCATAGCAGGTTTGCTAAAAAAGGCCTTCTTGTGGGCAGCAAGAAGGTAAGGGTTTTTAAAAAAGACGTATTCTGTAGATAGGATTAGAAGCTTGAAAGATAAAGAAAAAGTAATATCCGAGCCAAAGAATTATTTTTAATTCCAAGCGAAGGAAAAGTTAACACTTTTTGGCTTGGAATTTGAAAAAAAAAAGAGAACAAGAGAGAAGATTCGAACAGAATAGAAATTCGAATAAGATTTGGCTTATCGAATTATATTGAGATTGTTTCTTTTTATTAATATTGGTGTGTTTACTAAAGTTACAAAAAGTTTACCTTGCATATATTCCGTTCAGCTAAATATACATGGTAGAAAGGTTCTCTCGCAGTAGAAAGCATTCATTTTTCTTCGACTCGGGAAGTTGTCTAGCCAAGAATACATACTGTAAATGGTAATGATATTTCACATTTTTAGTTTATTCAAGCGGATACTTTTTAATCTATTTTCGACTACTGTACTCAATAGAATTAATGTTTTATTATTTTTTTTTTCTTTTCAAGCCGTAATTCCTATCAATTTGACTCTAGTCATTCAAATTCATTAACAAACGTATTTATAAATTTAACTGAATTTATTATAAAATAAAAAGACAACCAGAAACTCTGTTTCTTTTTGTCTCTTTATTTTATTAAATTAAATTCGATCCAACTCGTTTTTGGATCCTCGAAGAGCCTCTAATTCTCATTCACTTTTTTTAAAGCTCTTTCCGCCCCGTGGGCTCTAAGAGGGCCTCTTTTTGCGAGCCCATTATGGATTCCTCCAAGGTCCACAATGGGTGAACCTTGGCGGAATCCATAACGGGACGGGGCCCGACATATTCGGACGGACCGCCGCCCGAAAAATTCCTGGGGAATTTTCGACACGTCCGAGGTTGGAACTCTGGTCCCCAGAGCGGTAGGCTGCCACCTTGACCGCTCGGCCATCCGGCCGCATATTTAGGATTTAATTATTTCAGTCGAAGCGGTAGGCTGCCACCTTGACCGCTCGGCCATCCGGCCTACCTCAAATTCATTATTAGCTTTTTTCTACTTTTTTCGATATGATACTGCTTTACACTTAAAATTAAATAATACAATTAAAAATTATTTTCAGTTATAATTGATAAATTTAAATTGTTTACTGCATAAACAGTCTCGGACACTTCCATCGTATTTATTATTTACCATCCGATTTTATCACGATCTTTTTATTAACCAGAGGGCGTTAGCCACTAACGATATGGCCGCAGTCGTTTGTTTACGAAATCTGTCAAATCACCAATAAAAATTTAAAAGGCAAGTTCTGTTCGGTGCATTCCAATTATTCGTCCAATGCCGTCAATCGTTTTACTGTTCGTCCCAGATTGATTTTAAGGTTTAATTGTAAAATAACACCTCGGTTATTTAAATTTCGCTCGAAATTAATCGATCATTTATATTTTGCGGATTTTGATCGCATATTTCTTAATAATTATTCATCGTCGGTCTTGTAAATCTAGATAAAAACGGAATGTAATTATGTCTTAAGATCTGTGGATAATACAGATATTAAGACAAAATTATCGAAATTATAAATTCGATTATACAGTATTTACAAGTCGACCCCCTATAACACTTCATTTTTCCGTTTTATATGAATTCCATGTTGTACGAGTCACTTAGATTTTACAAATACGTGTGCCAGGCTGTGAACGGCTCACGTATTTGTAAAATCTAAGTGACTCGTACAACATGGAATTCATATAAAACGGAAAAATCAACAGTGTTATAGGGGG